TCCGTCCGTCCGTCCATTTATCCATCCATTTATCCATTCATTCGTCACCCCCATCCCCCACCCCTAGTCAAACATCACTGTCAATTGCCTCAGTCAAGCAACCTAGTAAGATTTCGATATTTTTCAGTGTAATTCTTTTTTCCCCGCAAATTAATTATAAACAGACAAATCATTTTGCGTACTTTCCTGTCATGTATCTAATCATTTGGTTTAAGGAATTCCGCCTGTTAATATTATTTGTTACTTCCGAATTCATATTGGTTTTATTTATACATATTCTGGAATGTGCCATTCTTTCTTTCTTTCTTTCCTTGTTTTCAACGAAATGACACGGCAAAATGCTACATACTTACATGACTATAAAGAAATTACGACTTATCATTAGATTAACAGGGAAAAAAACCTTCAGGAAGCAAGTATAAAAAACCTCACCATTGTCGTAATAGTGGAGGAACGGTCAGTGTGGGGGTCGTTTGACGGAATAACCCTAAAAGGACGCGACCTTAAGTTCTTACTTTAAGTATTCATGGGACGGGTATACCGGACTACGTGTCAATCAAATGTTACCGTCACTTAATAAACTTAATTAAATCGTCAATTCCAATTTATGTTGAAAAGGAAGTAAGAATTTGGCGTTGTAAAAGCGAAGGACGACACAGCGGAGAAAGCTATTATAATACCACTTGAAAGAGTAGCTTAAAACCTTTGTGTCGAGTTGTTAACAAAGGCGTTTAGGATAAGCTGAGCCCAGTTCATTTTACTGTCAATTTCCTTTCTTTTCTTCTGGATTTTTTTACGTTTCAATCTATGGCTTCCTCCAGTAATGTTTCAGTCATTATGACTAAACTTTTACTTGTTTTAATGTGTTTTAAATTGCCCGCAAAGAAAGCAGTATATCACTGGCTCATTAAAAACGTTAAACAGTAATTCTTAATAGTATATCCAATCCTATCTTAAATCTTACCAAATCCGAGCCCATAAAAAAATGGGATTTTAACACGATTAGTAAAAAAAAAATTTTTTCACATCTTCTCTTTTGTGTTCTTTCTAATGTTTTAATGTTCAACAGAGTAGTGTTACTCTAGGAATGGCACGTGAAATAAGATGTCAGATCACGTGTCATCAGAGTAACACTATTTTGTTCATGTAACAGTTGCACATGAGAAGATAGAACATGAAAATAAACATGGATACAAGACAAACAAAGAATCTTATTTTCACGAGAGTGACACGTGGTCTGAAATGGAAAAAAAATTACGTCCAAAATTTATTAGGAAAAAGGCCGGAAGATTTTTTCATTACTATATTCATTAGCCATTTCCATTCTCATTATTATAGCATTTAAATCTTTGACCAATTATAGGTTTCGTAATAAAGTAACCAATTACCGCGCGTCTTATATCGGAAGCGCTGTATCCCTAAAATAATCCCCCAAATGAAATAAGAATATAATATTAACTAAACCAGAAATTATGACATTTATTTTCATATAATAAACCTTACATAGCCTTGAATCTTTATCATGCTTTCATTTCAAAAAAAAGTCTTTCAAATTTAGTTTTAATTTGCAAAACTTGAGTGAGATGTTTTGGCATTGAACTCCATTTTGTCACGTCATAGTTGGCAAATGTCCCGTATGTACTCCGGCGTGGATCGTTTTGTTGTTAACTCTGGTTCTTCCGTTGCTGTTCTCTGTACATAATCGCAGAGATATTGTAGTGATTTACGACTCTATGAAAGAAAAATATATGGTATTAATACGGATCGGAGTTCTAGTTATCAGAATTATACTTTTTTAGGCGGTAAATAAGCAGTGACACGCCAGCACACAGAACAAACGACGACAACAATAACAAAACAGAAACAAAAAAATATCTAAGAAAATTAAAGAAATATGGAGACAAAAACGAAAGAAAGAGCAAATAAAAAAGAACAAAAGGAATGAGTGAAAGAAAGAAAGAACAGATAAGTGAATGTAAAAATAAATGAATGAATGAAAAAACGAAGAAAGTAAAAATATATATATCAGTTACACAAGCTTATAAATTTGCGATGCTCAAAGGTCGTATAAATAAAGTACATGTTCGTTTGAAGATATTTGTAGCTTTTCCTTATATGCTCTAATCAAACTTCAAATAAAACTCCCTAGAGGTGTAATTTCTTACCATGTGGGACCCTCTTTGATATTCTCGTTTTCCAAAATTCCCGATTCCCGCGGTGAAGGAATACGTCTGCTGAATGACTAGTAAAATCCCGATCAAAGTTATCACTGTTGTCTTCATCTTTATCGTTCTGCTTTTCACGCGTAGCTTGAAGTCTTTATCTGATAAATTACTCGTAAGACTGCCTTTACTAGCCGCTCGTGTTCGCTTACTTATGCAATCACTAAGGAAGTCCCAAAATTACTGCAACAGGAAAAGGCCTCTTCACACGCCATTAAATCCTCTCCGCACTTAAAACTCTTTTACAACATTCCTACCATCATCCCTAAATTACTTTAAGCTGGTTAAAGCTTTTTCTTACTTATTAAGCGCCTTACTTCATCGCTTTTAAAAGTTTTGGAATCCGGAAAAGCATTATTTCTTGATTGGAGTTGAATTGTTCTTCCTCGTTAGCGTCGCTTTTTGGATTCCAATATACCAAGTGTCCCTTTTATGGAATCACATGAACACCAGGTGCTAAAATCTTTTGCTCGAATTCATTTGTGAGAAAAATTAATGAGTTGTAGGCTCTCTGTAATTTGTTCCCTGCAAATCACGAAAAAATGAGTCTAGATTTAACTCGAAGTACTTTGGTTAGGCAATTACTCAGGTTTTTTAGGGTTAAGAACACGACTAGGGCGATTTTGTTGAAACAGTTTTACGATCCACGTTTTACGGATACTCTTTTTCTCAGCGCACATGTACACATATATAACTACGTGAAATAAATAAAGTCAATCCCAAGATGGTTTTACCGAAACGAAATAGATAGATACAGATATAATTGTCACGAATCTAACAGGTTTTTAACAACAAAGACTTCAACCATCATGGGTAGGATGAATAAAGTGTCTTATAGTGTGAAGAGGCAACAGAAAAAATGTTTGAAGTGTTTTTAAGCTGTTAAGGGCTTAAAAACCTGCTTTTCACGCGGCGAGAGTTATATATTATTTGTATATTTGGTCAACCTTTTTCGGATTGACGGTATACACCTATAGAGGTTTTGCACCATCACGTGCCGGCGCCCATAATACAGCTTGGAGTTCCTGTGATTAGATGGTAGAACAATGGAATACCTTTGCTCTCGGGAATTGAATTCTTTCTCATGTAAAACGATTGTATTGTTCCTGCTATCTAACATGACTGCTGTATTGGATCCACCCTTTGTAATCACATCAGTGACCAAAGTCTGAACGTCCTATTTCAAGGGAAAGCTTTTTCAGGTCAAAGGTAATAAACAAAAGTGATAGGTCATTCCAAGACACAAAAATAGCTGGAATGCCTAGTGTTCCTTCTTATTATTTCTCGTCAAGAACACGGAGCTTAGTGTTAAGATATTCATATTGTAGTACCAAAGTAAATTTTAAAAAAGCTAAAAATATATTATGCTTTGGCCGTTGTATCTCAGCGCATGGCCTGGGACAATCACAACAGAGCCAGGCTCAAAACTTGACAAAAGCCCAAAGATCGAATATACATGAAAGATGAGGCGATAAACCGTGTGGGATCGGCTCGGAAATCATAGAAGAACATGCGTAATAGATAAACAGGCCGAAACAGCTGTCCACTGTTTTTAGTTGAGCTGGCTCATTTTTTCACGCGACTTGGAGTTGTGGAAGGCCCATTGGCCCTCTTCTTCAGTCGTTTCATACGAGGTTCGTAATTTACCTATTACGCATGTTCTTCAAAGATCAAATAAACAGTCTATCAAACGATAAATATCATTTATTATATTCTTAAAAACCTGTCTTAACAGTTATATTACATAAATATGCAGGTATTTTTTTCATGGTTCCTCTTTCATTCATCGCCATGAGAATAGAAATCCGTTTATTCGCCTTCCTTGGTTTCATTTTTCCTCAGGAATATCTTTGTCAGTATCCTGCTGGAATCTGCTAGGTATTCTTTGTGCTTCTTTCTTTACTATATCGCTGTG